GCGCAATTAGCTGCCGTGTTTGCCCAAAAATATATAGTCACTATACTTTACAGTATATTCTTTGAAGCGCTTTGAGATGTCGAGAAGATGTGAAAAGCACTATATCAAATCAAGGATTATTATTATATATTATTATAACTTTAGATAATTTACTAACAAAAACTAAACTTTTAGGAAAACTAAAAAAAATTCAAATATAAAGTTGTATTTCTTGCTTTTGTATCCAATTTACATAATTTGTCCATTTTATAATTTTTTTTCACATCTGCACTTAAAAAAAAACGTTACTGGGTATTCAGTAAAGAAATGAGTACAAGTCACAGCAGCTAAACAGAAAAACTGCACCTGGGAAGTGCACAGTCTTAAAATCAATGAAGACTTAGCCTTAAATATTACAGGATCACAATGGTGTTTAGAATTATTAGCACTTGTAAGTTTGTCGTGGATAAAAATTATAACTGACTGAAAAAAAATAAGGAGCACAATTGATGTGCAGCCACTTTTAGCCCTGCAATCACATTGTGAAAGGCAAGCTCCTCTCGACTGTCTCAAAGCCGGTGTGTCAGTGTGTATAAATTGGAAGACAGATTCAATTACCAGAGCTACACGGAAATTTCTCATTGTTTCAAGCAAGCATGAAATTTGGCAACAATCAGATTGCCAGTCTTGTAAGCCCCATTTATCTTGCCAGGGGTACACGAGCTAGCCTCATCGAGGGCTGGGAGATGAATATTAAAACCCCTGCATTTGTAGCAGCTGCAAGCGTGTCGCTCCATTTTATTCCCCCTGATTAATGGCCTCCTATCCCTGATTTACAACTCCCCGCTGGACAAGCCTTAGCCACACTGAAAATATTAGAGAATTATTAAATAAACATTCATACGTCATGTCTGTTTCATACACTCCTCAAAATGCAACTGACTCCAATAGGAATTCAAGCGGCAGCAACTGTTTGCTTTAACTCTGACACGCAGCATCTTGAATGATTCATGCCTCGACTTGCTAAAACACTTAATGTCATACATCATGCCAGCGGTCGTCTCCCAGCTTGCAGAGTACCTACGTTGGCTCGGGATGAATCAATCTCGACTGAAGGCCTCTTGCTGCCACATTAGGCATACATCATACCTCTATCACCCGGTTTGAAAAAAAAGTCAGGTACCACTAGACGCACAGCCACAGCTTCCAAAGTAGGACCCCAATATCAATTTAAGCAGCTCAAGCCAGCGCCCGACCAACTGAACCTTACCAGGCTCACATAGAGATCGTTCAACAGGAGTCGTTGTGCAGCAGTGCACAAGTGAGAGGTGGGGTGGATGGAGTGAGAAGAGACACCGACAAAGAATGTGGCAGATTCAAGGGAAAAGGGGAAAGAGAGGGGGGTTAAAAGAGTTCGCAGCTCAGATAAAACACTACTGCAATTTTTAAGGTTCCCCTGGGGAGCGTTACTAAAAAGTAGGGAATTCTCTCTTGCTTTAGATGGCTCATATATCAAACACTGACAGATTGTGTTCATATTAATGATACAGTTGATTCCACTTGATGTACTTGATGTTTCTGATTAATGTTTCTGTTTAGTGAATAGAAATGACAAAAATCCATTGCGTTATTCTGGTTAACTAAAAAAAACTTTCAGCTGTAAATTCTTGTTACAGTGATATATTCTTCGGCAAATTGCCCTTTTTACAATGGATGCAGGACGGATTGCATTGGATCGCTGCATTTATTACCTTGTGACTCTTCACCAAAACATAACAAATCAGAAGTTCAAACAATTCGGTATCTTAATTTATAAATTTCTTCAGTGTGTATAAAAATGCCCCCGAGAAATCCTACAGGTTGAATGGACATTCAATGCAATTCTGATTTAAACATAAATTACACATATGGGGAGAGGGGGTGGGGGCGAGAGAGAATGTCCCAGTGTCGTATTAGTTTGGTATCAAAATAATAATAATAATAATAATAATCCTTGCATTTGATATAGCGCTTTTCACGTTGGGAGGACGTCCCAAAGCGCTTCACTGTAAAGTGAATTGACTGTATATTTGTGGGCGAACGTGGCAGCCAATTGCGCACAGCAATGTCCCACAAACAGTCATGGATTGAAAATGACCAATTTATTATTGTTTTTGTTTTGGAGGGATTATTATTAGGCTCTGTGTGGAGTAAGGAAACTTGCCCAAGGTTTCGCCCTCTGCCTGGAATTGAACTCAGGTCTCTCACTTGCAAAGCGAGTGCTCTAACCACTGAGCTACAGGACTCCAAAATATACTATATTGCAGCTAGCTTGGAGACTGAGAATGGTTTGAGCCTTATCAGCAGTCTTCTTCCACAGGAACTAGTGCATGCTGCAGGGAAAACAAGGGAACTGTATGTTTTGGCAAGAGGAATAGGGAACGACAGCACATTTCCTCAATATGTTGAGGTTTTTGTTGCATTCTCCCAAATTAATTACATCTGGTGTCACAGTAAAACCTGCATCATTCTTCTACTGTATACCATTCCCACACCTTACTTACTCTGCCTCAGATCCCACTCCTTTCCATCATAGAAGAACAATGGTCAGCTTACAGTGCAAAGCACATTAGCAGGAACTCAGCCACAGCATTACAATAATTACTCTCGCTTTAAAACACACAGCCAAATGTTAAAAATGGGCAAATGATACAATTTAGAAAGACATTCAGGAACGTTTCTAACATTTGTTGCTGTTGCTCATCCACAAGCCACCCACCTGTAAAGTGCGTTTGCCCTTTGGCTACCTGGCTCTAACCATGTTTTGCCTGCTTGGTTATCTGACCAGAACTACACATTTTCCTTCTACCCCTTTGTCAGAATTTCCAGATTACCAAATCTCACCTCTCCATCACCAGTCACCCAGCTTCAACCACAACTGTCCCCACATAAAATCTATTTAACCCTGGTCCCAAACTTGGCCAACAAATGGTGCTCTTTACAGTATGGATGGAGGGGCATGGACTGCAGGGTCCTAGGGAAAATGCGGACAACCGACAGCCACTTTTTCTGTGTCCGTCATTTTTCCGTTGGCAGACTTCACCGCTGCGCTTTATAAAGGTGCAGGTGGTTGCGGTTTATTCATTTTCTTCATTTTAGGGGAGAGTACAACATCAGAGCAGATGCAAAACACTGAATGACGGAAGAGGACACGAGATGGGTCCGAGTATCAGAAGACGTTGCTCTAGGTCTTTCTTCCCGGTTTGCTATCTTTATTGTACAGTGGAAGCAGCAACAGAGAAAATAAACTCTCATGGTTTTGGTGCATTCGAGATGCATCTGAGATAATTTCATCACTCACGCGATGTGCATTCTCAGTTACCAATTCCATTCAAACTGCAACTCACTGTGGAGCCAGTGGGAACAACTGTGAAATGGTTCCAGGATAATGCAACACCAGGAAATCTGGTGGTTTTCATTATGGGTATGAAACTGAAATGAAACTAAGTGGGGACTGCATCACCAAACTCCCCTCAACTCACCCACAAACAACAACAATTGGCATTTCTATTGCGTTCCCACCACTCCCACGTGCCCTATCAAATGCAAGGATTATTATTATTATTGTCTTGAAGCAGAAATAAAAGCCTGCAACACTTATTCTGTCCACAGTCATACAGCCATTTCACCCCTCATTTAAATCAACCAAGCACTAATTAAAACCCAGCACAAATCTTGCCAATAAACAAACCAATTATGGCAGTCAATAGCACTCTGGTGTTGTATCAATTTTGTCGAAAAACAAACAGTAAAATGAAACACTCCGCACATATTTACATTAAGAATACATTTAAATGATGGAATATTTTCTGGCGCTTTAAAACTGCTTGGCGCGATTATATTTCGATCATCAACACTTGTAAAAAAATAATGAAGTACTTTAAAATAAAAAAAATCCATTCCATTTTAGTGAGATGACTGTTTGAAATAATAAAACTCAATTGCACCTATTTATATGGCAAGCACTGATAATTGATCTATTGATTGTGACCATTTCGCATTCAGTTGTTACTTACTCGAAGGCTGCTGGAGCAGCACTGAATGCACTGAGAAATAAATGCTAATCTTTATTAATAAGCCAGTCACCGTTCTGAGGTTCCAGTTAACCAAATCTTTTTCGGGGAGGGTGGCAGGGGGAGGGGGGAAAGAGTAGGAGATTGGAGTAAAGAGAAAATTTCTGAACCCCTTTTTTTGGAAAATCTTCCCCACATAGATTAAAGGCATTGGCACCAACAACAACTTGCACTTATATAGTGTCCCTCACGCAGGATAGCGTCCCAGAGCGCTTAACTCACTAATCTGTGCTGCAATCATGTCGAGTCGTCACAATCATAGAATCAAAGAATCCTGTAGCACAGAAGGAGGCCATTCGCCCATCGTGCCTGTGCCAGCTCTTTGAAAGAGTCCCACTCCCCTGCTCTTTACCCATTAGACTTGCAATTTTTTTCTTTTCAAGTACATTTCCAATTCCCTTTCAAGTATATTCCAATTCCTTATAAGAATCCTTCTGAACAAAAAATGAGATTTACAATCTTCTGGCACAGTGCAGATCCAAACATAGGAGAATGTAGTGACTTAATAATAATAATAAATTCTTGACTTAAATTCCAAGTGCTTGCTAATGACAATATTTTTGGATGTGTATTTTAAATTGTGGAACTATTTCGCGTTATAAATTTCTGGGAATCATAAAAACAATCTTGACTCCAAATGGCATTTTTACATGGTTTCCTTACAAAATGCACATCTGGAATATCTTACTGCAATCTTGGATGCCCCAACCACTAACATCAAAAGAATCCAACAAGAAATGATCAACTGGTTTTAGTACATTCCAATTTGTGACGACTCCACTTAAAATGTTCCGCTACCAGACAACCTGGAGATTGTTGCTATAGAGAACGAAAACACAACTTGTCTGTTCTGTAAGTCGGTCAGGGCAGAAACGGACTGATCCATTCTGTCAACACTGGAGCACTTACTTTTCAATCTCACTGTTTTTACACGTCTTCTGTGTCTGCACCTCTAGTTTGCCGCTCTCTCCATTACTTGTTGAGGGCATTTCTAAAAAAAGAAATCAAATGAGGAAGTCAAAAAACAACTTGAAATGTATTTCGCTTTGAACTCAACGCAAGCAGAGATCAGCAGACAATTTTATTCCACCAGTATGGGTTTGACTTGAACTTGGGTGTCAGGGGTGAAAAGGTTTTAATGCACTATTCCATTACCTCTCCCACAATATTTAGGCCTTAAGAAACGAGTCTACTAGATCATGGGAAAAGAGAAGAAATTGGAGGCAGCACCCATATTAACCTGACTGTTGCCTCCAATTCTGCATAACTCCCAATAGACATCTCTGTCCATTCAGCTTTTACCAGTCAGTCAGATCACCTCAGTGTTAATCACCAACATTGTTAAAAGGGGCAAATCACAAAAACAAAGGCAATTCCTACTGTAAACCGGCTTTAACTTTGTTTGACTACCTACCATCATTGGCCCATTTGGAAAACTCTGGTGTTATTCGATTGCTTGGAGTTCCACCACTGCAAAGGAAACCATACATCCTAGTTAATGGCATCACTGTTAAACATACTACCATTTTTTGTGGCCTATGGGATGGAGAATGTTCAGCGTTCAGAGTGAGATTATATAGTCCACAAATCTACTGAAATCGATTCAAAACTGTAACTTTCTCAATTTTTTACAGTTCATTTGTGTCATTACTTTATAATGAAAGTACTTCACCTTAGCCTTTTCTTCTCCTTGAACTCAAACCTTCAATTCTCAACAATATGACTTTTCCAATTTCTTGCACGAGCCATCTCTGCTGTCTCTCAGCACAAGACTGGCAATTTAGTGGCAATCAGCTGTAAATTACTGAACATTTTACACTGCGGACTTAATCTATTAAAGAACTGAGTCAATCCCAAATTCATTTCAACTAGTGTCCTGACAGAGAATTTTATTCGATCAGCTTGGACTAGGTTCAAATTCAGCACCCGTGGTTAAAGGGTGGTGTTTATAAACCCCCCAAAATACAATTCTGAAGAATGAAATGAGAAGGTTTCTATAGCAGAGAAACAATCTAAAATCCTCTATTGAATTTATATATTGTTACTTACTTTAGAACTGCACCGCGTAGCGCCTCCCGCTCTTTGGCTTCACCTGGTTCCTCGCCAGTACAAGGTATAATATCTGCCTCTGTGTACCTGTTTTGTTGAGTTAAGGAAATAGGCAAACTACAAAAGAAAATTACTCCAACCTTTATCACAGATTCAACCTTACTACAGTAACACAATAGTAAAGGAAACCCCCTACCAATTTATTTTTCATATTGTTCTAACAAAATGCATAGTGACTACACTTCAACATAAATCCTTTGATGCGCTTTGAAACATCTTCTTGGTGTGAAAGATGCCATATCAAATGCAACGATTATTATTATATCTAACATCTGTGGTTTACTTGGAAACAGGCATTTATTCATCTTCAAAATATACAATCAATACCCTTTGCAATTCGCTCTATGAAGCGTTTTGAGACGTCTCAAAGACGTGATAAGGTGCTATATCAAATGCAAGGAATATTATTACCACTTTCTGATTTTTGATTATGGAAATGTTAAGAACTTATTTTAAAAATGCAAAAAAAAAATGGGAAAATATGAGCATGCTATTTAAAAATGGACGTTATAGATGAGAAAGCAGAGAGTAACCTTTTAAGCTCAAGCCAATCCCACAAATGTAAAAGCCCCAAAAACAGGAATAAAACAAACAATCATCAAATAAGGATGCTGTGGTTTCCCATATTCAAGGGTGTCATCTCCATCCACGTCAAGATCTGCGTCACTGTCATGATTCTCTTTACTGCTGCAGGTAACGAAACCGGATCCTGTGTAAAAGCACAACAAAGCCATGAAGGAATGAGAGCCAGGGATATGGATTACACTAAACACTCTACATCAAACGGAAATCATAACCATGTTGTACAGAGGTTCTAATCTAAGTTACATGTGGTGCGTGTGCATGCGTGCGTGTGTCTGTTTATGGAATCCTGTAGCTCAGTGGTTAGAGCGCTCGCCTCGCAAGACCTGGGTTTGATTCCCAGCAGGGCAGAACCTTGGGCAAGTTTCCTTACTCCACACATGTGATAATAACCCCTCAAGAAAAAAAAGCACAATAATAAATTGTTCACTTCAATCCATGGCTGTTTGTGGGACACTGCTGTGCACGATTAGCTGTCGTGTTTCGCCCATAAATGTACAGTCAATTCATTTCACAGTATATTCTGTGAAGTGCTTTGAGATATCTCAAAAACATGAAAAGTGTTATATCAAATGCAAGGATTATTATTATATATCTTAGTGTGAAACAAAGTTGGAAAACAATGTAAAGCAGATTATTCAATGTTCCTTAAATCTGGCTCAAGAGTATAAACCCAAATGAATATTTATAAATCAGTTCAGCACATTGTAGCACGACAATAAAACAAGAGTTGAAAATGTAAACCATGCTGATACCAAAAATGCAACAGTAGACTGACTGCATATTATTACCCATATAGTCACATGCACATAAACATAGAAAGATCATGCCAAGATGATTATGGGAGAGTGTGGTGAGCAGTTGGAGAATTCAACAGTGCTTGTATTTGCCTTTAAATTCTTTGAATATTCCTATTCTGAGGCCACCCCTTCTGATGTGTTTCATTGACCAGGAACCAATTCAGAAATGATTCAATCAATTGATCAGGACACCAAACATATCCACTTTTGATTGGAATGAAGATTTTTTGTAAGTGTTAGTTTATTTATCTCCAGGAGGGAGCCATAAACATTCTACTTCAAACTTGGTAAAATGAGCAAAACACAATTTTTTCATGTTCTTTAGGCATTAAATTTAATTAAAATGACTTCAGATACAATTTGTTTTTTTTTAAAAAGCACAGCCTGTTTGAACCTGTCTTTTTAACCTTCAGCAAGTAAAAACAGCAAACAGCTAAGACACGGGTCATTTAGCAGAGAAAAACAAAGTAATGCAGCAGTTCCATGTTCTTTCGACATTCTTTCACAGAATGTGACAAGTAATTCAGGCCCCGATCTTGACTGACACCTCTATAAGTCCCTGACACTACTGGAGACAAACTTCCCCATCAATCATGCTCCAGCTATCAGGACTATTTAACCAGCGTCTGAACTGGTGAGAGAAAGCTGAGGCCTACGAAAGCTGTAACCCAATCCAGTGCTTTCAGATATATCCCAACTCCCAGTAGGCTGTGGCCTCTGCCCAAATAATTAACATTACATGTGAGAGGGGAAAAGTGGAATTTCCTAGTGCTGAGCTGTTAATAAGCCTTAAATTTTATAAATGTGAGTTACCCCAAAACACAACACAACCAATAATGTCACTTTACAATGAGCCCCTGGCTGCTAAACCAAAAGAAAATCACTGTTAATTTAATCAATTGATCAGTTCATTGATTTGAAGTCAAAGCGGCTAGTTAACCATGCAGAGCAAAAGCCCACGACTGCAGGACCACAGAAAGCTGTCATTGATTTTTCTACCTGCCACTCAGCATACATCCTGAATAGAATTGCAACTTTGTGCAATGGGGAGCCGGGGGTTTCAAAGTTAAATTAGTTACAGATGCAATCAGGGTGTCTTCTGTAAACTCTATTGATTGGACAGCTGACAGTCCGGCACAGAACGACTCGGCTAGTCAATTGCCTCAGATGTCACCTGCCACTTTGCTGAATAGTTGACAATGCAATTATCCGGTGTAGAGGCAAGAAGTTGCTGTGTGTCAAATACATTTAGCCCCCGTAAGATGCTGCTCAATAGGTGCGCATGGTGTGTGTGTATGTCCAGGCAAGCATGCATGTGCATTTGTTTAGCACAGCCTACAACATGCCAATCACTCTCAAGATAGTCGACAAAGAGGCTTGAAGGATATGGCAAGGTGACCGCAGAAAGAGAAAGTTTGACGGAAGAGCATGTGGATGGACTGTGGGGCAGGTTTACATAAAGAGATAATGAACTGTAGTGATCACATCATGGAGAACGGTACAATGGTAGAGGAAAAAATAGACTACATTTCAAAACGGCAGGCTTACTCTTCTTAAAATGGAAGATACAGTCAATAATATTAATAATCTATTTTAAACAATTACAATGCAGGCTTGAATTACGTCTCAGTAATCAGCTCACTCAAAACATGCGGGGATTAAATCACAGTCCTTAACTCTGCAGTGCAGGTATCATTTCACATCAATTGCCATGTTGGCAAAACAAAAGTGACACCAAAATGTAATAAAGCCTGATCATGTGATCAGCATGGATCATTGCAGAAAACAAACAAATTCCTTTGAATGATTTTAGGCATTTATTATTCTCTCAAGCCCTGGTTCACAGAGCGGCTCGTGAGGCCTGCAAATACTCATGATCTTAGCCTCGAGACAATTGTTTTCCAATGGAAGATTGAACGTAGGAAGTTTCCCCAAATTCTGCACAATCTCAACTTGGATGTTTACCCGATAACAGCTTCCAGATGAATGCAGAATTTAAGAATTTTCAAACCTGATCCTGCATTTTGGTTCCATGTGTATACTTGCAGTGTTTCATAATATACTTCCATGTATACTTCATTTGCACTTTGTTCCATCATGCATTGTCCAAATTTACTGCATCTCCTGAGAATTTTTGCATTAACCCTCGAATTAAAATTCTGAAATTTCCCTGGACTTCAGAAAATCACACGATCACAAACAAACTCCTGATCTAGCTCAGAACTTAAACGATTCAACCCTGAAAGGCAGCATTCCATAAATGATCATGCTATTTTATCATCGCTGAATAAATATGGATTAAATAATTGTACAGCCTTAATGTACTACGAAGATCACAGTCATGTCACTTATTACCATTGCCCGTCTAGACTTGAACAAGTAGCTTAAAGGTAACTTAAAAGTAAACCCGTTCAAAAGTACAAACTGGAGATTCAATTCAATGTAGCCTTTCACCTCTCATTACAACTTCATTTCAGTTCAAATTTGATGTCTGTGAAATATAAGTCAGCCTGTTTGAGTCCAGTGCTCACATCAAGGTAATATTGGGAAGGGATAGGGGAGGGTGAGAAGGAAGCAAGATATGTCAATGTAATATGCGCACAGCATCTATGTCTAATTCAGTTCTTAATGTCTTAATTCTGCAGCTGAAAGTCAACTCAAAGTGAATCTCAGTAGTACAAATACGGGGTTCAATTGACCTACCACAATTACTCTATTCTTATGGCTTTGCCAAACATCCTCTAATACAGTCCAAGTTTAGCTGCTCTCACAGAACATTCTGCCAACAGAATTAGGCCCTCCGATTTCCTTCAATGTTTCGAGCATATGGTTCTCAAGTAGGAACCGACTGTTAGTGGATTGGCGAATCGCTTTTCTGGGAGTAATAATCCCTTCAAAATGAAAACATTTGGTCACTCAATCCACAACTGTTTGTGGTCACTGGCTGCAGGGTTTTGGCCACAAAATATAGTCAATTCACTTTACAATATATTCTGTGAAGCGCTTTGAGACGTCTCGAACACATGATAAGGGGCTGTATCAAATGTAAGGATTATTATTATTATTAAATATGTGCTTCTAGAACCTGTTATCTGTTAATTCAACTCTAGACACTGTAACACACTGCCTCAAGACTGTTGGACTGAATCATCATCGTTTTTTTCCTTCCCTTTCATAGTTTGAACTTTTTAATGTTCACAAGACAAGGATTATTATTATTATTATTATTATTATAATAAGTCCGGTATGTTTTTCTTACTATCTCTTTGCATTACAGGATAAGAACTCAATTCTGACTTCAAATTAGGCGAGGAACACGTTTGAAAAAAACAAACTCCTTATTATAGAATAAAAAGATAAAGCAGATATCGCGAAACTTTCCATATCAGTTGCTTCACCTTACCGTACATCTAGGTTGTTTATGCTGAAGCGCACAGCATCAGTTTTATCCTCTTCCCTCCCCCCCAAACACTTATGATCCAGTTCAAATCACTGAATCATGACAACCAGGAAAAACCTCACCTGCGTACGTACATAAGGAACTGGCAGATTTGACTATTGGGTAACATTAGGAACTGAAACCCTGAACCACACACAGAACTCATAAAATGGGCTGCTTTTTTAAAAAAAACGATTACGCTGCCAATTCAGGGAGGAAACTTTTCTTTCCTAATAATCAGTGTACTATATGGCCTTTGTCATTAAACTATATAAAGATGTAAGAAAGGGAAGTAGAGCAACACAGCTGCTTTCACTCAATGACTTTCTTTTTTAAACGTCCCAATTCGGTTGAATTTGTAAAGAAATTGATCAAATTATTTGCAGAGTTAGTTTGAAGCTTATAATAGTAATAATAATCTTGCATTTGATGTCATGCCTTATCACCTCTTCGAGACGTCTCAAAGCGCTTCACAAAATATACTGTAAAGTGAATTGACTGTATTTTGTGGGCAAAATTTGAGAGATATTTTCTATATTGAAAGATTATGGTCAAATTTAAGCAAATTGTGAAAGTCCTTCCAGTTTCTGAAAAATAAGACCTCAAATGTCGAAGATTGTTTACTCAAATTTCCATCGTCTTCAATCCTGTATTATATACAGTGATGCCATTTCAGCAAGCACAGCAGAGGTCTGCTCAACATTCTTCCCTAACCTGTCTATGTCTCTCTCTCTCTCTCTCTCCCCCTCTGAAGTTGTCCGGACAGTTTTTCTTACCTCGCGTTATCACTTGCTTTAAACAGACTTGGCAGGCAATCTAATCCTCCCTGAAAAGGTCAGTGCCATTTTAACTGCCTTTCAATCACATTATGCATGGTGCAGCACGCGCTCACTGCGATGCCTCCAGCTCTTGTCTAGACTGGATCAATACCCGAGCGATATCACTAGAGGAATGACACATGATGCCAATCGACCCAAAATCCCTAAATGGAACTGAACAGAAGGGAACAACTGGCCGCCTCTGACCTATCACTACCTAATCTACTTAGTCCCATCTGCTCAGGCCGAAATAACAACCAAAGATTTCCTCAGTCGGTAGTTTGCAGTGAGTGGGGACTTGCTCAGGCAGAACACCCTCCCCCTTCCGAGCTTTGAAGTCACATTACAAAGCTGGTATGAAAGCACAGCTTCAAATGTTTTCTGATGCCATCGTTACCTTCTTATCTCCTTGCTCATTCCACAGTTACTATAGTTTCATCCACAACATGTTGTCAATAGTCAGCTATCTGTAAGCAGTCCGTTAGTTACTGTTCTCAGCCACTTTCTTTAAACTGCAATGAATCATTTAAAGATGGTAGTCCTGGTTAAAGATGAACCAATGTGATTTTTAGGTGAATAGATTTTAGGTGAATAGATTCTTTCCTTTTGTTTGAAGAGCATGCTGCGTTAAATAAAGAAAAGCAGCTTGGAAAGATATTGGAAACGAGGATAAGGAAAAGATTTGGGATTTGACTGATCTCTTGAAGTAGCATTTTGCTGTTGCAAGGTATTGATATTTGTATTCCTCTCATACCTTTAAAGGGAAAATGTAGTTTAATGTCTAGTATAATTGGAAATGTTATGAAGGCAGGTATCTGTCTATACACATCTGTACAACTGCTGTATAAAGACAGACAGATGTATGCTTAGGACCTGCGCTATAATGACATAAATTATTGTGAGAATTTGGTCTGAACAATGACTTTGCTTCACATAGAACAAAACTTCATAACTTCAACCATTCTGAACAGAATGCCTTCTCAGCAGGAAGTTTAAAGTATGAATGAGGGGAGACTGAAAGGAAAAGATATACACACACTCCAGCAATTGACTTTAGATGTTTGCCTAAAAATACACAGTCACTCCACTTCACAATAAAATCCTGTGAAGCACTTTGAGACGTCTTGACAGCCCTATCAAATCGATGGATTATTATAGCAACGCTGCCAGTGAGTAGCTAGTCTTTCTAAAAGCATTCAAGACCACCTCCCAGTAAAGCAATAAACACACCCAACATTAGCCCAACTCTACCAAGGGCAGGCAAAGAAATATTTTCAACAGCCCAGCCAAGTAAAATTATCAGCAGATGAGAACTTTGATATATTGAGGCTCAAACATGGTCTTCAGTAACCTGAGCTCCCTTGGTCAGAACCCCAAAGTGAATTCTGTGAGTGAATTCCAGATGCTGGGGCTAGGAATCTCCTATGGCTTCAATGCTGCTGGGATTCTTTTAGGCCCGTAGTTCTGCACAGCATAATCGTTTATTGGATTGACAGTATACACTCAATTTCCACTGTACAAAGTTTAATTAAATTTTGGCTGACATGGCTAGCAGATGACAGCGAAAACAATTATTTTCTACAACGCTAAAATGGCACATCATATGCAACTTGTTTCCGTTGGGACCCAAAAGCTTTGCAAAACATATGTAGATAAATAAATAAAATAGAGATTTAGATACATAAATATAAAAATATTCCTAAGTTTCACCGAGTGCATAATCTTTCCCTTTCAAGCTGGTTTGGAATACAAACCAGCTCCTTAGCTCACACAATAGGCCTCAGTGTGAAAGCACAGCTGACATAAACTCTGAATCTTTCACTAGGAAAACGGTACAAATTGATTGCAGACCTTGTACCTTGCAATCCCCCCAGCAGGTCCCAACAGACTCAGCTCTTTCAATATTTTATAACTTCTGAAATGAGACACGTTGCTCCCTGCCCTACCTCATTTAGGTAAAACAAGGGAGATAACAGGAAATTTTGTTTGACAAGCTCTCATTTCTCAGCTCCTCTGCCCTCAGTGAGCCAGGAACAGATCCCTGCGAAAATTACATTCCCCAGTACTGGTCAAGTAAAGGTCAAATATTAGGGATGAGCAAATGGTCTGATCCGACAGGCCCCTTTGAGGGCAAATTTAGATCCACACTTGAAATGTTTGCTCTTGCAAATGAAACCTGATCGAACTTGAAGGCTTGCTCAAAAATAGGCATTAGAAAGAAATACAGGCATAGGTTTAAAAACTGCTCAGTTGTGTCACTTTACTTATAAGTGTTGCGTACCTCGGAATCCACCTTCTAATAAGGTCGTGGCCCGTATTCTCTTCTGCCCACACCACTCGTACTCCTCAAATCTGTTCCCACTTGCACTCTCGTTCTCCATATCCACTGACTCGTCATCATTTGTATAGGATCCATCTCGCTGTGGGTTGAAACAGATTGTACTTATAAGTTTCAAATTAATTTATGCATTTTGTTGTGTGGAATATTTTTATTCAACAGGAAAAGCTGCGGTAATTTTCCTCTTGCCTATTTCTTTTGATAAGGTCTTCACTCACTATTCAAGAGCATTCATAAACCCATAGCTAAAACCTATTAGAATGATGGTTTGAAACTCTACTTTCAGTTTAAAGAATACTCATATACTTTCCATACTTTGAGAAGTACCCTTTCATTCAGAGCTCATGACATTATGCCGTCTCCTCACCTGTGGTGTTAAATCATGTTTAATTCAATCAGTTTTCTTTTTAAAATTCAAACAAGATATAATACTTTCTGAACTAATTTAGCAGGAGAAATATTTGCCTCCGATTCCATTTCAAGGAAAGCATCCCGTCCAGTTCTAACCAGGATTGCAAGGTCAGATGAATAAATACCTAAGATATCTGATAGAAAAGGACAGTATGAAAGTCTAAATCAATTTTTGTTGAGTAAAATGATGGATAATGGTACACTGCAGGCGTATATAATAATAATCCTTGCATTTGATATCGTGCCTTATCATGTCTTCGAGACGTCTCAAAACGTTTTGCAGAAGCGAATTATAAAGGGTACTGACTTTATATATTGTGGGCGAAAAGCGACAGCCAATTGTGCACAGCAGTGTCCCACAAACAGGCATTGATGGAGTGACCAAATTATTATTATATATTTTTTGAAGGGATTATCAATGGGTGAAGCACGCACTCAGAGGCGAGAGAAAGGAGGAAAAGACTAGCTACAGTGTATTTTGACGTTGTAATTGACCCCGTTGTAACAAACCGTATTGAAACTTACTGCACCTTTTAATACGTGAGTTTTACTAGCCCAGGTGTGACTGACCAAACGTTTCACTCTAAGGGTTTAGTAAACTCCTGATAACGTGACCCTGCCTTCACTTGGCACTACCACTTAAGTCATCAATATCCTGTATGATACGAATACTCAGTCTAACATGGACAACTGTTTTGGATGGGGCTGCACAATAGTCAGGCATGGGTTGTATTCCAATATTATTACATTTGTTGCATCGCTTAACCTTTAGAGGAATAATTCAGCCATATGGTTGTGACGGAGGCCACAACATAAGGTCCCGCTGGAGCTTGTGGTCCCAGCCATGCTCATGTTGCTGAATGAGAGCTTAAAAGATAACCACAAATGTACTAAACAGATGTGGAGGCCGACTCAATCATTCCCCACATCAACTTTTTATGGATTTATAGACTGCGTGCAGGATTCTCACAAGGATCTTTAAAAAGTTATGTCCCCTTTTACAACAGTTTCGTCTTTAAATACTATTTTATTATCAAATGTGTTTGGTATGTTCCCCACTGCAAAACCTCAGTCTGCATGTATTCTGGAATGACAAGATGGCAGGCAGCAAGTCAAAGAACGCTAATACAATCGAGTGGTTTCTAAGGTAATCATAAATGCTAGAACAAAGCCCAAAGCACTTTATGGTCAACTAAACTGCAAGAATGTTTATCGTTGGCCCTAAACTCACTGCTCAGAATTTGTTAAATGGGGAAGCACATCCTGTTTAATTGCCCCATGCAATAAAGAGGCATATCTGTACACTTACCTTCATCTCCTGTCACCTCTGGTTTCATGTCATGCTTCTGAACTGCTTATTAAAGGCAATCTGGAAGCAAACATTTTGTGTAAAACTTCTCTGACATCATGCCAGTGGGTTATAGGAAATGTTTCATTCATGGCGTTCCAGACAAAACGAATGCTATCAGGTTGCCTTTAACCAACAGGACTAAAGCATAAAAAGACAAAAAGAGTAACAGACACAGCTAAGTGTACACATATCCTTTTCATTACTTATAGGTTTATGACCAAATAGCAGAGACGTCCTCCTTCAAACTATATATTGTATTCATAAAGAACAGCAAACCTTAGGTATTGAGACACAACATGACAGAGGTGAAAATAAAGATGGATGTTGAGGTTTAGCTCATCAAATTACTGTGTATTATACTGATACCATATTCTTTTCTGGCAGAAAATAACAGGGGAATATTACATTCAAAAGTCAATATAATCTAAAACGATACATTGTGCAGTAGTGAAAAAAAGGCTTTCATATTCGGCTTAATCTATTATTTCTCTGATTTTGCTCTCCCACTGCTATCTTGTAATCTACTCCATGCAGAACAAGCGTCAGATTCATTTTCAGGTGATTCAAGTCCAACTCTCAAAGTTCTTTGAAATCTTGATACGTTGTTAATAGAATATGAACTCATGTTGATTTGTTACTACGTTTTAATTATAAAGTGACTCAAATATTTTCCCTTTTGTACCCATATAATAATAATCCCTCCAAAACTAAAAACAATAATTAAATTGGTCATTTTCAATCTACGACTGTTTGTGGGACATTGCTGTGCGCAATTGGCTGCCGCGTTCGCCCACAAATATACAGTCAATTCACTTTACAGTGTGTTCTGTGAAGCGCTTTGGGACGTCCTCCCGACGTGAAAAGCGCTATATCAAATGCAAGGATTATTATTATTATTATTATTATATTCACGAGATAGTGGTTTAATATTCTCAGGTGCGCATTTGAAGCTACAAATCTGTAATAAAGTGAATTATTTTCCAAAACCTTTGAAATTAGAAAGTTTCTTCTGAAAGCGTGTGTATATTTGTGCGAAAACCTAAACAATTAAATCGAAAGTTAATGGGAACCGTGTGCATCCATATATATATATATGTGTGTGTGTGTATGTGTGTGTGAACATCACCAACTGACAGTTTCCACAAATGCTTCAGTGCTATCAAGGTTTGTGGAAAGGAGTTGAATATTTGTGTTACCCACTTACAATCATCTCTTTCCTCAATTATAGGCATCACACTTTCTCCTGCTAAACCCATCGAATCCTCCTACATCTCACAAATAAACAGAGATTTTTACACTAGATCCTTCAAATCAGTTTAGTGATAAAGTGCAATAAAAAGAGAACTTGTTGGAGCACCAACATGTCCATTGACTACCTTATCCAGGCAGGCTTCCACATGCCTACTCATCTCTTCCACTGTTCCAGAGAGTGCCGCATTGCACAGCGGACATACCTGCCCATCCTCTGAAACCTTCTTCCTCTTGTTTTTCCCTATCCGTGCTGGAAGACAAAAGAGGAGACCTGTTTAGGGTCAATGTTCCCTCAGAGTAAAATATCTGCAAGTCTCAGTTATTATTTAAGCGAAGTCGTTATCGGAGATGAATACTAAACAAAACACACCCAACAAATATTTCAGTTTGATCAGGATTTCCTCTTCATAATAGGAAGAAAAAGAAGTGTGAAAGGTGTTCAAAGAACTAGGAACGTGGAACTCAATTAATCTGCAGCGAGGAAACTAATACGTAGGTTAACAGATCATAATAGTGGGAGTGTGATTGGTCAAATCAATGAGGCATCAACTACACATTACGCTCAAGCATGTAAGTCATTAATGTTCTGAGCCCAAAATAACAATTCAGCAAAACAAACTCATTTGAAATACACCTTCCACTGCCATTTAATAAAAAGATAAAAAATAAATGTTCCGAGAACAAAATTGAAATGAAAGCAAAGTGTCAATACTGTACAACAACAACAACAAGATTCCATTTATAGAGCGCCTTTCACGTTGGGAGGACGTCCCAAGGCGCTGTACAGTTGGGTCAGGACCCGAGCATTGGGGGAAATAATCAGGGTGAGGGGAGGGAAGGGAGGGAGCGAGGAGGGGGTAGAGAGTCGAGAGGGGAGCTGAAGGCACGGTCAAAGAGGAACTGCACACTCTTTCGACTGGTAATTAAAGAGGCCCGAAGTAGGGAAACTCAATTAAGCCGTACAGTTAGTAATACATAGCTGCCCAGTTTAATGTATTGCAAGTCGGAAATGGTTTAAAACTCTCCAGAGTCGAGATAGCAATCCCCTCCCAACTAAAGAAAGGTTTCAAACGGTGCCCAAAGCAGAAGCACAAGTGTTGGAACATAGGAACAGGAGGAGGCCATTCAGCCCTTCAAGCCTGTTCCGCCATTTAATTAGATCATGGCTGATCTGTACCTCAACTAATCCTTCCAATTTTCCGATTTCTCCCCATATCCCTTAATACCCTGACCTACCAAAAATCTATCAACCTCACCCTTGAAGGTGTGGATGGATCCAGCACCCACGGCCTAGCTCAAGGGATTCAGGGAATGCAGTCGGTTCACTTTGCAGTGTACTCTGGGTGGATTCTGAGACGCCTGGAGGATGTGGTGGAGCACTGTGTCAAAGGCAAGGATTAATATAATTATAAATGAATGAGTTAATGTGGTCTGGAAAGAAGGACAATGTCTGTACTAAGAATCACCTTAGTACAGACATTTTGATTGAAAGACAGCATTGGAACCTTGTCGGTCGGTCTAAGAACACTTCTTCTTGAAACAAAGGGAAACGGGAGATACCTCGGGACACTTAATTGGTTTAACATTCACACCCGGGATGATGCAATTAACACCCCTGGCCGTAACAATGGGAAAAAAGTTTAAGGGTTTAAATTTAAGATTGTTAAATATGAGCAGGAGGGGGATAAAAAGTTTGAGAACCAAACAGGAGTGGAACAAAAACAGAAGTCACTGGGAACACTCAGCAGGTCAGGCAGCACCAATGGAGAAAGGAAAGCGAGTCAACGTTTCAGGTCCACGGCCCTTCATCAGAATTGAGTAACTGGTCTTTCCAGACAACATTAACTGGCAGACTGGCAGGATTATTGGCAGACGAGAACATACAGCGTCTCCCGGCCAGCTCCCAGGAATGACAAGTATTATTTCTTATATTACTGTTACATTATTTGTGTTGTCCTGTACTTTTGTAACTACTGCATTAAGATTTCCACTATAGTCATATCAGGTTAAAATAAAAACCCTTTTGAATGAGACGTAGTCTGGTCTCGGTATAAATTACAGAGAATCCGACGCAAGGTATAATTTATAGAGGAACTACATGGCCAGTTAAAATCAGTGGGAGACTGGACATGATCAAAAGCAGGCAGCTGCCGGCAGAGAGAGACACAAATAGCGGCACTCGTCCACATTGTAAAGTACAATAACCAGGCTCTCTTTTTAAAGCAGGATGATAACATGACATCAGTCACAATAGTATGGGATTCGATGTAATCGAATTGTATCCCAGGAAATTTCTAGCTTTTTGTGTCTGGGTTTAAAGAAAGCTTTTGTCATAGCTGTCTGAACCGCTCTCCTGCTGATCCATCTCAACTAGTGTACAAGGATTATGACGTGCGCAAGAGGAAATATCATGGTAAAAGCAGCAGGATTTCCCTCCCTTAGAAAACTACTCTTTTGCACCATGCAATCGTTCAAACATTTTTTTTAAGAAAACATTTTAAACTCTTCTGTTAGAAAGCAGAGAGGATAGGAGAGACTTGGTGCCTGCAACAGAAGATCGAGATGGGTACAAAACCGTGTTGTGGAGCAGGGAATCCAAGTTGGAAACTATTTTATCTGTGGTGACGAAGATAAAGCTGGGAAAGAAGTACTAAAAGCAGATATGGAAAAGCTCCTTAAAGAATATAGAAGACTATTTTTTGAAAAAAAGAGGAATGGATGGGGCTGCTACACAAGGGATCTACTGGATGTCAAATCTACTTGAGCCTCTTAAACATCATTGTGCTTCAAATCCAATTGAAGACTTTCAATGTGATCTGGTCTTGTCGTGGTCACTCCAACGCAGCTTTTACTCTTGTTTGTGATCCTAAAGTAAATTTACATAGCGCCCTTCACGCAGGGTAGTGTCCTGGAGCGCTTAATCCTGGAGCGATCATGATTCGAGGTAGCAATGTGGCTCTCAATGTTTAATGTTTATATGAATTTGCACTGAGAACCTTAGGATTTCTTCCACACAACAAAGTAGGGTACTTCCCTCGTCCACATTTATGGGCATTTTATCAGTGAAAAGATGCACAGGAAATGGTTAACTGAAATCAAACAGTAAAGAGCACAGGTCAAATTAAAAAAAAGGAGAGATTTCCTAGAAATGCCTCCTCGTCTGCGCAAAAATTCATAGAAGAAATAATTTATCATGACAATTATGGTCTTAATTTAAATAGCAATCAGGCTGCAGATTAAACGTGTCATGATAGGAAAAAAACAGGTTATTTCTTGAATCTGTTTCCCTTGACAGCCGCACTCCAAAATTGTCCTCAATCAACTCCCAATCCCCAGTGCTCGTTGTACAAATTTATGCATTTTCCTTCCCTTTTCCTTTTCTTTCAAAACTGTCCCGCACGTAATTAGAAATTTAACGTCGCAGAACACTGCCTATTACATCGTAATTCTTTGTTCTTTTTTAACTGCAAATTGAGTGATGCTACATTAATTTTTAGGTACAAGTAATATGAAAAGTAAAGGGGGAAAATGAAAGCTATCCATGGCTATATGCAGATTACTCAGCTGTCTCTGACTAAATACTAAATGAATAATCTCCACTCTAATCGACTCTGTACTTTTGAAAGGCTCGGCTGAATAGAAAAACCCAGTTCAATTACGCAGGACCCACTGGTGCAACTACTCTTGAATTCTTAATGTCCAGACTCCTGAGAGATAAAATTTCTCTTAAACTTTGCACATCTTCCAGAAGCACAAATAGAGTGAAAAGCTGCTAACAGCACCATATCAGAACAAGATTAATTTAAAGCACTAGGGGGTGAGTAAGGAAGGAGAGAGAAGAAAAACAAACCCAAACTTTATCAATTTGAGATGTAAAATCATTTGAAATGATACCCAGGATGATATCACTATATCTAACCTATGAGCAAAAGTGTTACGTATATGGGGAGAAATGGCACATGGGACTGTTTACATAGTGTCCTGAATTTGCCGAATTCTGAAATATAATCTTTATTTTGATATGTTTTCTCCTTGATTGGCTTGTTTCTTAATTTCCAGAGGACACAGAACAGTGGCTGCCTCTGATTACAGTGACTAGTCCTGGGCACAGCCAAAGAAAGGGGGAAATACTCTTTTGGGGAAAATAAACCACGTGCCTGTCCATGATCATCAAGGTGAGGGGTTGATATGAAAGCTGGTGAGTGTGACAAGGGCTGATCTTTTTATAGTAGGTGTGCCTTTAAAGAAGATGCTCCTTTCTGTTAATGCTGAAATTGAACAACATCCAAATGGTTTCCAACCAGCCTTCACTGCCAAGTGCTGAATCTGGCTCATCATGGAGGGGTTCAGCTTGGTTTGCAAACTGCGAGACTCTGGGGGCAAGATTTTCACAGTCAATAATTATCTGATAGTTTGACATCAAGACCTGCCATCATCTCCAACGAGGTCAGATAAAGAGTTATTTATAGCCAGGATTACAGCCCAGGGGCAAGACGTACGGAAAATGTTCCTTGTTCCAGTTAAGATCGCCTGCAACAGAGTTCTCACTCAATCTCGTATCTTCAAGTCCTCACCCCTCATGCAAATTCCATGCCACATTACACAAAAAAATTGCAGCCTTCTCAGACACCTAGATCTTTCTCACCAGCAGTACCCTTCCACCTTATAATAATAATCCTTGCATTTGATATAGCGCTTTTCACGTCTTCTCAACGTCTCAAAGCGCTTCACAGAATAGACTGTAAAGTGAATTGACCGTATATTTGTGGGCGAATACTTTGATGTTCAAGATTTCTGAGCTTTCTTTGTGAGCTAAAGGTTCAGCATTGCTATGTTTGGTTCTGTTATAACCACCGCAGCATTTCGTATCAATTTTACCCCTCTCAAAAGTTTGAGTGAGGAGCTGAGAAGATTCTCTAACCTAGGTGTATCTTTGATTTTTTTTATATATAGAGCAAAGTCACATGAAGGACTCTGACCACCCAAACTAATAGTGATTTTAAAAAAACGAGTCTGTTCATCTGGCAGAACATAAGACAATGCACAACTACTAATGCTTGTCATGGAGATTAGAGAGAATCTTTGGATAACAAGGATCAAATCGTTGGCGCATTATTCCGTTTAAAATATCAACTGAACTGTTCCTACCCACTGCAATTCCTCACCTGTTGCATTATATCTCTCCCCCCCCCCACCCCCTACCACACCACTAATATTTACGCAGGTTCCTGTTACAAGCACGATACTATC